GTCAACCAACTAAGAAAGATTTAATTAATTTTTTTTTTTAGATTCCATGAGTCATTTTTAGGACACATTTACTTTTTTATCGAGTACGTACTTTTTTTGTTAATTTCTATCTTTAGAAATATAATGAAAAAGGTCATTGATCTTTTTTTTTCACAAATGTTACTCAAAAGTGATACAATATATAAATATACAGTACTTACAGATTTAATTGCAGACTTAGGTTACGTGGAGTAATACCGTAATAACTGATACATATTTGCCGATATACATAGTATACATAGTATACATAGTATACATAGACGTACGTACGTACGTATGTACTGTAAGTTGCTCCGAAATAAGTATTGGGGTAATTGAATTCCGATTAACTCTAGGGACCCGATCACCTGTAGATCATCGAAAAAATGTAAAACCTTATTTTTACAAAGTTGTTCTGGTAGTGATACGTATTTTAAATTCATTAATATTATTACTGTCAGAGATTATAATTTTTGCATCTTTTTTTGGACACAAAATAAATTAATTTGAAAATATTTAAATTAAGATGATCCCTAGATATACGAGAGATATACAAGAGATATACAAGAGATATACAAGAGATTGAAATTTTTTTTGGAAAGGTTGGATTGAAAGAATTAGAAAATTTTCAATTACAATAAAAAAAAAAATCATATAATTATTATTATTAGGAATATTAAAATTGAAAAGAAAGAAAGTTTCCAATTTCAATAATTGAATGATGTCAAATGATTTCTTAAAAAATTTCCTAAAAAAATTTCCTAAAAAATTTCCTAAAAATTTCATTTTAATAATATTACGTATTAATAATATTAATAATATTAAGGCTAACTAAGAATATATAATGATATAAATCAATGATACCGTATGATCTGCAATTAGCACTTTTTGTCAACATATGTGTTTGAATGATATAAGCAAGGAATAACCTATTTAACAATTGACATTATCTACAATATCGACTTCATTAAAGCGTTTCATAAACAAATATCATGAAACACGTTCATAATTTATGATCAAGCTTATAAGAAATCAAATATGCATAAAAGAACCGAATTTTCTCATAGAGCATTAGTTTGTTATTTAAGACATTGAGTTATTTGAGATATTGAGATATTATTCTGGAGAACAAAAAAAAATAAAAATAAATAAATAAAGAAATTTTATAAAAGTTAAAATATAATTAGATAGAAAGAAAGCGCAGGAGAAAGGAGAATGTTTGAAGGGAGGAATGTACGTACGTAACAATGTTTTACAATCAGTCACACCTCAACAAAGATTATCAGTTGAACAAAATATTCAATAGCATTTTAATACGTAGCATTTAATAGCATTTTAATACGTAGCATTTAATAGCATTTTAATACGTAGCATTTAATAGCATTTAATACGTAGCATTTATTTGAAGGGAGAGGAGGACAACATTTTAAATCATCAAAATAATTCTATATAATAAAGAAGCCAAAAATTCGGTAATGAATAAGATTATAGTAATGTGACTAAACTTTCGGTAATTAACGAGAACCAAGTAACAGGATTTGTTTTTTTTAGTGTACCCAAAGGTAACTAAATTTTTAATACTGTAATACGTTGTGTAATAATATATGAAAAGTTTGAAGTAGTGAAACTGAAAGAAACTACCAGACGAATATCATGGGAATATCATGAGAATATCATACATGCGGTTTTATGATCACGAAAGAATAGTAATCCTATCATGTATACATGTTAACCTGATAATTTGATCAAAGAAAGGAAATAAAGAGAAGCGAGACAAAAACTTCAACGAGCAAACATGTCTTACGGCATGATTAAATGCATTCAATCGATCAAGAAAATTAAACAATAAGAGAAATAAGTACATGCTATCTAAGATAATGTAAAATTACTCGTTTACTAAAAAAGTAATAATAAAAAAAATTTTATAAAAAAAAATATATATATTATATATCGCATAACATCGCATTCTTTGACTAATATAATTAAATCTTCTTTAAACTAATATAATTAATTTCTTTTGTGTGACATTAAATAATAGACAACAATACGTTTCCACATTTTGTTTGTCACTTTGTGTTAGGTTTTAAAGTTTAATTATAATAATTAACAAATTACTTTGCATTTAAGATTTATTAGATTTTCATTATTAACATCATATTTTGTGTAAATTAGTAATTAGCCTGAATATGAGAACAGTTTCACAAACAAGATTAAACCAAAAAGAGATTATTATTATCATTAAATAACCAAATTAATCGTAAATCAATATCATTTTAAGTATTATGAATGATCTTTTAATTATATAATCAATTTAAAAAAAAAATAAAAAAATAAAAAAAATAAAAATAAAAAGAATAAAAATTTAGAGATTTAAGTTCGGTGACGTAAAAAGATTTATTATAGTAATTATAGTATTGTAAAAAAAGGATACCCTTAAAACCGACGAGCGATTACAAAAAAATACAAGTATTTTTGACTTTTTTAATTTTTTTTTTTATTACGCTCATTTGTTTGTGGCGTCAAAAGAGGATCGAAATATATACATATATGACAAACCAATAATTCTATGGTCATTGGTTTTAATCAACAAATGAATTTTATTAAGTAAAAAAAATGTTAACCAATAAACTAATAAATTTTAACAAATTTTAACCAGTGTAACAAGCGTGACAATAATCTGCTGAGATAATTAAATTAATTTGATTTGACCTTTTCGAAAAGAAATGGATGGAAGGGAAAAAATATAGTTACATCCATGGGTTAAAATAGCATGATAATCCTGTGAAAAAAATAAAAGACAGCATGTGTGTGTTTTTACCGATTAACATACGGCGTTATTCCGCATACGCATAATTAGTTCGTTCTCATGTTCATTCATTACTACATACACTCAAAATATACGCAAACCCATACATTAACACTAACATAATATTTGATTCTCTATTATTATTTGTCTTATTAGTTTTATTTGCGTCACTTAAAAATATTAAAAATATTTTTGAAATCTCTTGCGTTTTATATTCCACATTTAATTGGAAATCTTTTAAACATCGTTTGTCGTTACGACAGTAGATACACAGATGTGATCCCTGATTTTTTTTTTAATCCGGTTTCCAATCCGTTTTATGTAAAAAAAAACTTGTTAAACATGAATTATGCGACAAAACTCTGACAAAAAAAATGTCTCCGAGATTGATCGAAATCGATCTCTGATTGGATAGATTATATAGATTATGATCGGTCTGTATTCCGAATCACTAAACGCTTTACTTTCCCCGATTGTGATCTCATGCCAAACGTGTGTAACAGATCCTTTTTTATATTGTAATGATAAATTCCCTTTGTTTAATAAAAAAAAAAATTTTTTTTGCAACGTAAGCATTGTACCGTATGGGGGATGCCCGCCGATGCATTCTTTTATATGACCCATTTTAATAAATAATAAAGATTCTAATAAAGATTCTAATAAAGATTCTAATAAAGATTTTTAATAAAGATTTTAATAAGGTTTTTAAAAGGTTTTTCAAGTTATCAAGTTATCAAAAGCATCTCTTCAAAAGTTTTTATTACAGTATTATGAGTATTATTATTATTATTATTATTAATAGATTATATTAGATTATATTAGATTATATTAGATTATATTAGATTATATTAGATTATTACAGTATTAGGTTATGATTATAGTCTAGGGTAATTTGACTATCGCTATCGTTATAATTCTGTATTGGATTATGATTATTTAACAAGGATTAGTGGATCGATGCATATGAACATAACTTGGTATTTTTTTTCGTATCACCATTTTTTATTTACTACCGAAAACAAATTATGAATATTATTATTGTTATTGTTTATTATAAGATGTTTATATGCGCAATAAGGGTGTCCCATACATATATTACATATATTTACAGTTATTCGGTCGTATTCGGTCGTTGTTCAATTTTATGCATTCATCTCCTTTTATGCCTTTACTGTAAGAAGGAGCTGGGTAGTATTTGTATGATGTTTAGAACAAAAGGAGTCCAATATGAATTTAGTTCTATTACATTTTGTATTATATGAAGATCATAACCGCTTCAATGTTTGGCCTTTATATTTAGAAGATCTACTTGTATCAATGTTAAAATATATGTTCCTATTTTTTACTTTTTTTGCTTTGTATAATTTATTATAATTTAGTTTTTTTAATTTTATATATAATTTTATATATATATAATTTTGTTTAATTTTGTTTTAATTTGTTTAATTTGTACGTATAATTTATTTAATCCTTTTACTAATCTATACTGGTGTACATTTAATTTTTGGTATCGCAACTGAAATTTTTTATTTATTTTTATTTTTATTATACATTACATATACAGTAATATATATAAAAAAAAAAAAAAATAGCCTAATAAAACCTAATAATGCCTGATGCACAAATTTCTCCGAAATAATTGATATAAAGACCGCCATCATACCTTTTTCCCTTCTTCATCATATAAGCCTTTTTTATTTTTTATTTCCTGTCAATGAAAGTTGAAGCTTACCGCTTTACTAAAAGTAAATAAATAAATAATAATCAATTTATATATCAATACGAAATAGCATCATTATCATTATTATTCATCATCAATCCATCCGAATGAATAATAAATCAAATCGCGAAAGAAACTTACGCGATATTATTTGACTCCTATATATAATTTTATAAATCTTTAATAATCTATAATCATTTGAACAAATCACAGATTCCTATTGACGAACTTTTTTTTTTTTTTTTGGAAAATATTTCTTACTTGATTATTATCCAAGCGCAGTGAACTCTACATTTTCAATATAAAGGACCAACTTTTCAAAAAATATCTTTCAAAAAAAAAATCTATCTTCCACTTTTTATTTTCACACGATCCATAAATAATTTTCTTTTAAAGTTTTTTTTTATTATTCGGTCTTCTTATTTATCTCTTATAAAAAAGAATTCATAATATTTAATGGAGACCACCGACGCTGCTTTGAAATTCTTGGTCAGTGGTAGTATAACTCTTCCAATGATTGGTATGTTTTATTATCTTTCTTTACTTTCTTTACCTTCTTTACCTTCTTTCTTTACTTTCTTTATTTTCTTTGGCTTTCCGTTCATTCAACATTCTTTACAACATTCTTTACAACGTTCTTTACAACATTCTTTACAACATTCTTTACAACACCTTTCCCATTTTCCATTCCTCATTATCATTATCATTATCATTTTTCATTATCATTTCTCATTATCATTATCATTCCCATTTTCATTGTCATTGTCATTGTCATTGTCATTATCATTTCCATTATCATAATCATTATCATTATAATTATCATTTTTCCGTTCAAAATATCATCAATCGTTCTAATTCTTTTTTCTTTTTTTTCTTTTTAGCTTTTGTAGCTCAAAAAGCTGCTGAAGTGATCCCATGCGACCCTCCACCAGCTAACAAACGACATGACCCATCTTCTCAATCTAAAAATATAACGCGTAATGTTGGTGAAGATGACCATCAACCCTTACCACCTTTAATATCATTTATCCAACGATTAGTCGTAAAATCAAACGTTTCAACTGCTACCTTCCTTACTACCGTTGTTTACCTAGCTCGCCTGAAAAATAAATTACCAAAATTAGCAAGAGGTTATTATCGGATTTTTTTTTTATTATTTCTCGGAATCTTTTTATTATCCCTATTTTTTTTTCTATTTTTTTTCGGAGTCTTTATTTTTTTCGGAATCTTTTCGGAATCTTTTATTATTATGCCTATTTTTTGATTTTTCTTGGCGTTGACTTCATGTTATTAAAGTTTCTCTTGATTGAAATATTATGTGTCGTCACATGATCATCTATTTTGTGAAACTACATGATATTCTAGAGATCCTTGTTACACCACAGTCGGCCGAAAAATCAAATGGGCTTGTCTTAGCGAATCTATACATTTAAATTTATCCTTGTGTGGACTACTATCCTTATTTTTTTCCCATATTTTATTATCTTATTATAATTTCATTTTTATATATTGATCTAACCAATTTTATTATTATTTCTCCCTAATTTAGGAATGCATTGTACTCGTCATAGAGTTTTCCTTGCTACTCTAATAGTTTCATCGTAAGTTCCCGGTTTCACCTATCTGTCTCATTTATGTTTATTACTCCTATTTATTATTCGTTCGCTTATCTTTTCCTTAAATTCTTCTTTTTTTATCTATTTTATCTAGAAAATACTTGAATGACTCTTCTCCTAGAAATAAATATTGGTCTAAATTTTCTGGTGTATATACTGTTGCAAAAGTTAATCTTATGGAAAGACAATTACTATCTTTATTAGATTATGACCTTCGAATACATAAAGCTGATCTAGATTTACATCTTGGTCCTTTATTAAAATCTTTACCTCGATTAAACTTTAATCTTAATACTCCTTTAAGGACTGACCCTCCTCCAAGGGTTCCATCCTTAAAACATCATCAACGATCGGCTTCTCATCCCGCCAATAATAATCATCAAAAAATTTCTTCTTATCCACGTCTCCAAATGTATACTCCTTCACATAGAACTCCTCCTAGACGTCAGAACTCGTATCAGTCACGTGTCTTGGCCTCCCCTTTTTCTACTTATGATATTGACATGAATACTTTGTCAATACCTTCTTCAACTTCCTCAACCTCCTCTAGCTCCTGTAATAATAATCCCAATACGCCAAAATATTTAAATTACATAGATGAATTTTTTCCAATGGAAACTGATGATGAAACCAAAAAGGATGATGATGATGAATCTGTAATTTACGATGAACCTGTAACTGCAACTTTCAATGAACTTTATGAACGTTTTTCCTTATATGGACAAATGAGAGATCAATATGGTCGAAGAACTTCTACATCTTCTGATTCTACTTGTTCATCTGATTCGTCTTCCTCTTCTTCTTCGGTACATACTCCTGTGTCGGCTCAAACTTATCAAACCCAAAAACAAGCGCTTAACATTCCTTCTTATTTACAACAACAAAGACGACGATGGAAATTACCGGACGCTGGCGTCTCTCCAATGTCATTAACACAATCGACTTCTTCATCTAGTAATGTACATGAAATGTCATTTACAAATTAAATTTTTTACTGTACTTCTTTCTGGCTGTATTAGGAATATCGATTTAAACCTAAATAGAACATTTGGAACCAACTTTCTTTTTTTTTCAAATAATGATTTATTGGATAATAATTAGTCACTAGTTGAAAAAAAGAAAAAAATTTTATATAAAATATTTTTTTTTCTTTTCTTTGTTAGTTATTATATACTATACTATATATACATGATATTACCGCACAATTGACAAAAAAACAAAAAAATGGAAAAAATTCTCGGTAATTAGAAAAAAACTTTTTTTTTTTTTAGAGTAGGATTATATATATATATTATTTTGGGAATCGGATGTTTTCTTGTATTTTAGTTTTTTTTTTTTTTTTTCTTTATTTGGGATTGGATTAAAAAATATGAATTTTAACGAATACTTAATTATAATACCACCTTCTTTTCATAATTCACATCATTCTTTTCACGAAAAAATTCGACTAAAAAAAAAAGCCCTACTTCCTTCCTACTCACAAACTTATCGTTATTAATTTATATATAATTAGAGTGATATATTCTGTTATATATATTTCTTTCTTTTTTCCTGTTAAATATAACATTTTTATTTTTTGTTCTCGATTTTTGTAAATATTTAATTCCTAGACGTTTTTTTTTTCTTTTTGCTCAATAAAATGAGTAATACTATTAGTGAAAAAATTGATTTTCATAAATTACATAAATTCGACGTAATAAAAATTTTTTAAAGCAATAATGTTGCTAAAATTTCTACAAATCAAGATAAATTATTTTTTAAAAAATGCAATTTCGACAAACATTTCGATATTGCTAGTTTTTTTTTTTATATGAATTCCACAAAGTAACTGCACTACCTAATGTATTTTGACAAAGAATTTCATCGACAACTATGAAATTTAATTTCGCCACTAAGAAAAATTAATTTCAACAAACTAAACGTCGAAATAACATTTTATTTAGAGGAGTAAATTTAGGCACCCATCTATAGGTGTAAAGAACAATATCCCTTTATTAAATGTAATATCCCTTCTGTTAGATAATTTTTCAGTTCACAAAATTATACGGCGTCCATTCACGTGAAGCTTACCAATGACAGTGAATACTTTCACCATATTTCATTCCAATATCAATTGACCAATCAAAACTTGCAACTAGCCACTAATTGAAGTTTTAATTGGCCAATTACCTTAACTACTAACGAACCATGTGAATTTGTATTGTCCATACTTTAGACAGATAAGACGTAATTGTCCGGAGCGTAGCGGAGGACTATTAATGTTTAGTTATGGTGATACAATAGTTACGCTCTTGATTTATATTATCAAAAATGTAAATTTGAAACTTCATGTCTGTCCGCACGCGTGTCTATATTTGTACTTTAGTGTAACAAAAGCATATCACGCGTTTGTGTAATATGTAATTATTTTCTACAGGGGGATCCCAAAATTCCGGGTCGTAATGGCCGGAATGCGTCGTGGTTAGGGTTGGGGTTAGGGCTGGTTTAGGGTTAGTGGAACTATAGGCTATAGTAAAATTATCAGCTGGGCACTTTTCACTTAATGAACGACTATTGTTTCATTAGTAAAATTCTTATTGATCTTGGGGCAAAATCGATCAACTCCGGCCCTTTCGACCAGAGTTCCGAAGCTTCCGACCCGAAATTTTAGGGATCTCCCTGTAGGAGTTATATGTAATTATCATGCGCTCCGGACACACAATGCTACGCATTAACCTAGTTTTATAACTGGGTGTCTTGTCCGCGCACCTGCATTAGTTTTGTTTTTGATTCATTTTTTAATTTGCATTTAATGTAATAAAAACATTAAACTAGTATAATACTTTTACAATTAGTATAGCAAATAAATAAATATATAAAATCATATATTCATTCTAAAAATATATATTTGTTAAATATTTAGACAGAGGTGTGGCAGCTTAGTGAAGTGGTTTAGTTGTTACCCTCTCCAAGTAGCAAGTCTAGAGTTCGAATCCCATGGATAACGATTTTGAAAAATAGGCCTGTGGTACAATAATCTGTATAAGATGGTTGAATTTTGAATTAAGAATCTGTAACTTGAGTTGCACCAGAAAGTGATTCTGGGAGATCTCCTGGCATTTGTACAACTGGGGGAGAACTCTGAGAATAACAAAGGAATGCAACCTGGTTTCAGGCGATGCAAATACTTAATAAGTCCATAACTGCGTAAATCTGGAGAACTGTTCATCACTATACAGAAAGCTCATTTGAGAAGTCCCGAGTTGGGAGTAGCAGTGATCTTTGATGGTACTATATGATAGCTGAATTTAAACCAGGGCCAAGATTGGAGAACCGAGCGACCAGGTACTTTAGTAGGATATATACTAGCCAAACCGCCAGGCAGACGCACCGGAGGAAAAGGGCATACGCTCCAAAAGTATGGACCAAGGGGAGAGTATCTTTCAGGCACTAAAGCCTGGGCAGACCAACCCATCTGGGTTGTCGGCTGGAAGTAAGAGAGGAACCAATTAAGAATCTGGGTAAGAAGATAGTTGGATTGGGGTACTAGGGTTGTTATGAACCTTGCAAGAGCAGGAGTATGTAATGGAGGACTAATTAGGAAGGTTGGCGTTTGAGATACGAATCGGGTTATGGCAGCACCCCTTGAGATATGAACCCATTAGCAGCAACACAACATGTACTAGTTAGGAAGAAGTTACCAAACATGCAGTTAAATACATATGTAGGACATGTACTATGCTGTTAGGTTTACTACAAGGATAAATGTCTTCTGTTGTTGGCTAAAGTCTTAGTGTCTTAAATGGTAAATTGTCCCCATAAAAAGGGATATATGTAGCACTGGTAGAAGCCAGAAAGTTTAATTAGATAGTTTCCTAGTTAGGCTATAGGCAGTATTGTATATTTTGGATGTCTGAGCTTTTTTAAACTGTCTGGCAGACTGTCCAAATCTCATCTGGCTTACAAATCCAATCTTAAAAATACACTCATATATGCAAAAATCAATTCTGAACAACTTTAATTA